TTGTTTAATATATAATGTTAATATTATTAATTAATTTATATTTATTGTATAATTATTTATTAGTAAATAAATAATATATTTATAATTAATTAATTAATTAATAATTAATAAAAATTGTAACATAATTAATAAATTAATAAATAATTGATGAGGAAGGTGATGATGATGATGATGATGATGATGGATGATGATGATGATGATCATATTTAGATTATATTTAGATTTTATAATTGTTTATTAAATTATTTATTAAATTATTTTTTATAATAAAAAGCGCGCACGTAGCTCGCGCCTGTGTTGTTCTAGTGGAAATGAAAAAGTTATACATATTAAACAAATTTATTCTTTTATTAGCATGTTTCAATATCTTCAAAATGTTTTATACGATAATAAATTATCTAATATGCCATTGTGTGTATATTTCACGCGCGCGCGCGCGTTAAATATATTTTACTTCTAATTATAATATCTTCTAATTATATTATCTTCCTCTCTCATATTTTTCCTCTCTTATATTAGTTTTGAATCTTTATATCTTTATTACATTAAATTTGTAATATTTCAAAAACATGTTAAATGAAAAGAATAAAAGTTTATAATGCTCTCTTTATTTCTAATAAATGCAATTTTTGAGAAGCGATAACATTACTTTTTTAAAAAGAAAGGCAGATTTAAACAATAAAATATACACTTTAGCAACATCCATTTGCACAACAATTTTTTTTGGCGTGGACTTGACACGTGTACGAGTTTTATTATCTCATTGTTTTCAATGTCAATCTTTTTTACCGACAAACTCATCAGATTAATGATATATAAATGTAGATGCAAGAATTATATTCAGCAAACTAAGATCTTCTTGTTCTTCTCTGACATTTTGCTATTCTTTTTTTTTACAATGGGAAGATGATGATTATTGATACTAATCATTGAACTTTATTGTGAAATAAGCATAAAACGATGGCGATAGACGAAGCCTATTAGATTAGACAAAAACTGTACAAATGAGATTTTATTATTCTCATTCTTATATGTATATTGTATTGAACTCTCATGCGTTTCACGAATTAATCAACAGTCTGTCTCTCAAGATACGACACTCTCATTATTAATATTCTCTTAACTGCAAAACGGTTATAAATATAGCCGTCTGAGATTGTTGTTATTAGTTCACAAAGATTTGTTTTACTGGCACATATATCTGCTTGAAGATATTTGCTTGAAGATACCATTTCAAACATTTGAGTAGTGTTTCAACTGATCGTCGCATCAATAATTTTATTAGGTAATCGGCATTATTCGTATAGAATAAAATTTTATAACATTTTATTGCAAAATCTGAATAATATGATTAATAATATCATAATTAGTGTAAGCGCGTGATTTTTACACAAGTTTTCTGAAATACTACAAATTGATAACTTTTGGTTTGATTGTTATAATATCATTAGATGTAGATTATATTATTTTTATGGAAATTTTTAACAATTAAATAAACAACAAAAACAAAGAGAGAAACGCTTTTAAGCAATCGCAATAATTATATAATTTGTATATTATATAAAAACAAAATATAATGGAGTAATAATTTTATTAAGAACCAGATAAAAATTTTTAAAATATGACAGTATGACAGAGTTTGCAAATGCTTCATTAAATAGCTTCGGATTATTACAAAGCAACTTTGTATCTTTGCATAGCAATAAAAGTATATTTATAGATTTATAATATTTACAAAATTGAACAAAATTTTTATAGTTATATACTAAATAAAATTATAACAATGCTAAAATTAACTTGTATGTTAAATGTTTGAGATAATTGATAAGAATAATACTCATCATAATTATGATACTATTAATCTTTGTTTAGATTTAGATAAAATCTTACAAAATTAGCAATAAAATCTTACAAAGTTTTATCTTATACAATTATAAGTAATGGCCAATCCAAAAAATTTATATAGTTCACACATTTATTATGCAAATAATGTTTTTCATTCATTACAATAAACAAATTTACCATATTTTTTATAGCTGTTTAAAGTTATTAACTATAAGAAATATACAATTAACGCTTTTCAATGATTGTTCTCTTTCTCTCTCTCTTTCTCTTTCTCTCTTCGTCTATTTACGATTAAGGTATTTAGGATATCGAGGCAATTTCAGTTTTGTACCCAGATAGCAAAACATATGCATTCTGAGCTCATATTTTACTCATATTTTTTACAAACATGATGACAAAAATATTCACATGTCATGTAATATAGCATTTGTTACATTGTAGTTATATATAGAACATACGCTGTATAGAGTTTACTTATATCGAATTGCTCATAGAGTTGGTAATTAAATAAATAACATAATTTATTTTATTTATAAAACTCGCAATTTAACTTATGTATAAATTCCAATTTTTTGCTTTAAATGGGCAGTAAATGAATTATTTCTTATTTACCTGCTCAATTTCAAATAAACTGTTTAATATTTTGAATCTCTCGTTGGATTGTGTCAGAAATTAAATTGATAAGAAAAAATATATTTTGGCTCTTATGTTATTATCAGTTATTTGTAGACTTTATATGGATTTCATGGCAGAAACTTGAATTAGAGTTAGTTAAATCTGGTTTCGCCGCGTAGCGACAAGCAAAGGAATACACGTACATGTATATAGAACAATATCATATTGCCATAATATTCTGTTACATTACTGTTGTAATGTTGCAAAGTAATATTCTCTAATATTATATACGTAGATAACTTGCATTTATTCTTTGTTATTTGTATGTTATTACTGCAACAAATAATGTTTATTGAGAATGACGGAAATGTTGAACGTACACAACTTATAACACGATAATAAATCATTGCGGTCAGTATGTTGTTATCATGGATTGACACAGTAATATCAATATATGACCATACAGTTCTTTTCATGTGCACATTAACTTGTACGAAATCTGAGCGTCAGGCATTGCTATATATAATTGGGTAGTGCAATAAATATCATTTATTCTGTGACATGTGTATAATCTAAGGATCAATAAAACAGTAGCTGAGGAAGAAGAAGTTCAATTAAACGGTCAAGAACATTAAGAAACAATGTTTATCACTATATTGTTATTATCCATGTTTATTTTATTGGTATATCATTATTACGTACATTATGGAAGAAATGGGCGACTCCTCAGTCTTTTACCGGGACCACAGGGCTATCCGATTGCTGGCAATGCATTTCTAGTATTCCGTTCAGCAGGCAAGTATAAAATTTCTGATGTATTTACATTAATTGACAGACGACTCATCATTCGTGCACACATACAAGCAAAAGTTAATTTCATAAAACCTTGTGATGTGATATCTATCAAAAATATCCGCATGCAGATTACATATCGTAGCTCTTCTTTCGATAATATCAATTTGCAAGTCATTATCATAATTATTAATTGTCTATTTTCAACGTATATGAGTACAGATGCAATCAAATAAAGATAAAATTAATTTTTGTACCGATATTAATGATATATTTTTCAGAGGAACTATGGATACTGTGGCATAGCCTATGTGATACATATTATCCTATTTATAAAGTTTGGAGTTTTTTCACGTATGTTGTATCTATCCGTCATCCAGATGATCTGGAGGTAATAAAAGAAATTCAATTTTCGGTAGACATTGCAATTTAGTTAGATTCAAAAATCTTGCTTTTCACAAGAAGATTATTGCTCGTAAGGAGAGATTGCTTAAAAAAAGGAATAGAGAAAATATCGATACTCGATCAAAATTACATATTTGAGATACAATTAATAAAGCTTGATCCAATTATTATAATTTTATTAAATGTATATTATATTATTTTTACGGAAACTTTTAACAATTAAATAAATAACAAAAATAAAAAAGATTTTTGTAACGTGTATTCAAGTATCAGTAAAACAGTAAGCTGAAGAAGATCAGAAGTTTAATTAAACGGTCAAGGACATCAAGAAACGATGTTTATCACTATATTGTTGTCATCCATGTTTATCTTATTGGTATATTCTTCTTAGGTACATTATGGAAGAAACGGGCGACTCGTTAATCTTTTACCAGGACCACCGGGCCATCCGATTGCTGGCAATGCATTTCTAGTATTCCTTTCAGCAGGCAAGTATAAAATTTCTGATGTATTTACATTAATTGACAGACGACTCATCATTCGTGCACACATACAAGCAAAAGTTAATTTCATAAAACCTTGTGATGTGATATCTATCAAAAATATCCGCATGCAGATTACATATCGTAGCTCTTCTTTCGATAATATCAATTTGCAAGGATTCAAAAATCTTGCGTTTCACAAGAAGATTATTGCTCGTAAGGAAAGATCGCTTAAATAGAAAAATAGAGAAAATATCGATACTCGATCAAAATTACATATTTGAGATACAATTAATAAATTATATGTGTATCTAAGATTGAATGATATAATAAACTGATGTTTCTTTCTTAACATGTTTTCGATGATTTCAGACGATACTAAACAATACCAAGCACATCGAAAAAGGTCTTCTATATAAGACGTTACATCCATGGCTCGGTACAGGACTTCTCACGAGCACAGGTAACATATTGGCATTAATATAAGCGTACTACTTTCCTGTTACAGTTTGTTTAACATTTGTTTTGATACTTGCAACTTCTTTTATCGCAAAAATTTCATAAGAAGAAGGTTTAAAAAGTTATAAATAAATTTTGCTATAAAAACAATAAATTTAAGATAATAATATTAAATTTAAAAATTGGTCAATAAACATTAAATTAAGAGAAGAATAGTAGTGAACGACTTAGTTACGTACCTGTGAGTGAGATATACCATCCGATTTTTTATACTCAAAGCAACTTACGAAATATTCAATTGTAATTATTTTCGATTGTATATTCGGTCTTATATAATAAATGCACTTGTAGAAACTGCCATGGGCGTTCCTCTGCAAAAAGACGGCGAGTTCCAGCAACAGTATCGAAATACGATTCACGATATAGGCAAATTGATCATTTATAGGTAATTTATTATATAGTAAATACTTGTGTAATATATTCGTGATCTTTTAAGATTGTGATATTGCTATACATTTTGAAAAAATATTAATTATTGAATAATCATTTGGAGGTAAACAGTTAGTATAAGACTTCGATTCGTTTAAAATAGAAATTAAAATTATATTTGATAAAAGAATCTGTTGTTAAAATAAAAATATAAAGTGTTTTTAGAAGATTCCAAATATCTTCTCGCAATGCAGTTTAACATTCTTTTGCTTATATTCTCTATAATCTATGAGTTTACTTAAAGATAACTTCAAGATTTTATAACGGCTCTAATTTAGGAATTAAATCATTATTTAAATTATATGATTTTATTGAATTACGGTTTAGAGGATTCAGGCCTTGGTTCTACAACGATTTGTTATTCTCGTTATCGCTACAAGGAAGAAAGCAAAAAAAGATCTTGAAAATATTGCATGGATTTACGGAAAAAGTAAGTTTTAAATCATGATATATTTTAAATACTCCCCAAACTCTTCTTTCTATATAAAATTATAATAAATCTTGTAACTTTCGTATTGCAAGATTACGTCATTAATCATAAATATTAATAACATAATATGTTATTAATATTTATGATATAGTACGATGTGCTATTGTTATTTAATATAAAAAATCATTAAAAAATAATATTGTACTGTGTAGATCATCGCGGAAAGAAAACTTTATCACGAACGCACCAATAATCGATACTTGAAAAACCTTGAAAATGACAAAGAGATAGATGATGTCGAAGTATTTGGAAGTACGTAAGAGATCACAGCTTCTATTTTAGTTCAGTTACATCATTTAATATTTTAAATTATGCTTGTAATATTTATACTAGTCACATAATTACACGTAATAATGCAACATATGTCTGCCGTTAATTTAAATCATTATTATTTTTAATATAAAATCTATATTTTAAACAAGAACAATGTTATATAATTAAAGCATGACATGCAAAAACAAGATTGACGCTAATGTGTTTTCTTATTTCTAGTTAAAAAAAAGCGGATGGCCATGTTGGATCTCTTAATAGCTGCATCTCAAAATAATGATTTGACTGATTTGGACATCAGAGAAGAGATCGATACTTTTATGTTTGAGGTCTGTATCTGTAATATTTTTTTATTTTTTTGTACACAGTATCTAAGCACGTTTATCGGTATGACGATATTCATATAATAATGATTACAGGGTCACGATACTACAGCAT